GTAAAATTGCAGAGTACTGCAGAATTTTATTAGAAAACATGTATAAAAAATTAGCGATCTATATATTTGCAGTTTTCCGCAGATTTTATTAAAAAATTGAATAAAAAAAAGCAGAGATCTGCAAAATTTGCAGATCTTTGCAGTTCTGAACCCAAATTAATTTCCCGATGTCCATGACTCTATAATTTTTGAACTTCATAATATGCATTCATTTTTCTGGAAAAATTTCTCTTTGCTTAGCATTAGGATTATTTTGTTTATGGCAATTGTACTTTATATACTCTTCAAGTAGGTCTAATCTTATAAAGGGAGCAATTATGTAATGGCAGCAGAAATATTTATGCCTATAATGTTTATTCCAACTACGCATGATCTGATTTTAGCCATTTTCACCGTTGATAAGGCAGTAATGTGTATTGAGACCTAGGAGAATTTTATTAATATTTCAGCAATCTCTAAAATCTTCCTTTCTTTCAGTAAATAATATTAAATCTACTATATACTCTCTTTGGTAGTTATATTCTGATATGTGGAGTGAGTCTATCATTCTAGTTTTTTGTTCTTTATTATTTTTGCTGATGCTGGATAGAACACATTTACTGTATAATCTGGATTATTTTCTTCGAATGTATCTATATCTTACAATGTGACTGAAAAATCTATACCAGAGAAATCTAGTATATTATCAAAGTGCTGTAACCTATTGACATCATGAAGATGTACTACCTTACGACCCTGTCTACGAGTTTTTTTACTGGTTAAATAAGCTTTCATACATACTTCAAAACATCTGTTATCTTTATTTTGTGGGTTAATTATCCCTAGCTGAGATTTGGCCCATATTTTTGGTAAAGTGAAATGTGTTTCACTTCAGAGTGATTGATAAATGCTTATTTTAAAAAAGATCTTTTTTTCATATTCATATATTCAGCCTGAATCTTGATTTTACTTCATTTCATCAATTTTATCTAAGATTTCATGGTATTGTCGTGAGACTGTTTAGTCTATTCTATCCTGATGAATAATATTTAAGATTTCACTTAGAAATACTATGTCTTCATCTATTCGACAATTATGAAATCTTCCTACTTGTACAAATCGATACATATGAGCTATGAGAACTATCTTTGTTTTAACTCCTCCTAATTATGCTAGTTTTCTTTTATAGATATCACTAATTTGATCTTCTATATCCTCAAATGTAGCTAAAGGATCTTTTCGATATTGATAAGTTTCTGAAATAATAACAAGATAATCTACACACAAGCTTTGATCAGAAATTCTTCTAGTTTCTACTATTATTTTTAGAGCTGAATCTTCTATTCTTCAAAATATTATTTATCCGCTTCTTCAGGTTCAGACTCATTATCAGATTCAAAATCTTTTTTAGATAACATATCTTCTTCATCAGCGGTCTCATAATCGCTGTTTTTATCTGAGTCTACCTCTGATACCTCTTCTTCTAGTTTAGGAGGTTCAGTTATCTTAGGTGGTACTAGTGTTAGGTCTTCCTAACTTGGCAAAAAGTTTTTAAATAATTGTCCTATTGCGCTGGTGATACTATTAAGTAATCTGCTCATATTTTCCCAAAAATTATATATGGTTACAAAAAGTTTAAAATAAAAATTAATTTATTCAGATAATTAGAGTTACATATTTATTCAAAAAAAGAGACTATTAGAATGGAATTTTATAATTATTCATATATTCTTAGGACTGGAGAAGTATGTAATGAGAAGTGCTATCGACCAGAAAAGTGTAAAGTTCATTAGAAGTCTCCTAGGTGGGTTCTCTGTATAGAATGCGAAAAATTAACTTCTTCTGTTTATAGTGCTTATATAAAACATACAGGTAAATATCGCATTTGAGATTTTTATCAGCGTCAGAAGCTTGCAAAAAATCAGGCTAGTGGGGGCTAGTGACAGGAATACAATATATATGATCATTTATATCACTTGAATTTTTTCATGTTTTGGATACATACTCCACTTTGCTCTGCAACTATGTGATCATATCTTGTATACATGCTCTGCTTCACTTTACAGACTATGAACACTATTTATTTTCATATCTTGTGTATATGCTTCGCTTCGCTCTGCAGACTGCGAATACTATTTGCTTTCATATCTTATATACATGCTCTGCTTTGCTCTGCAGACTGCGAATACTATTTGTTTTCATGTTTAGTGTTCATATATGTGAAAAATTTTGTTATCTAAGATGGATTCCAAAGGGTTTCAGACAGGAACATCTCAAAGTAGAAAAATTTTTTTACTATTTGAAAACAAGCGATTTCAGAATGAAAGTTAGTCAAGAAAGTGAATTAATAATCTTGTATTATTTCATTAGAAATTTGATATGTGAAATTTGATATAAGAAATTTGTAATACCCAGGATGACCTTCTGAAGGCATTCAGGACTTTTTGTCCCAAAAAGCCCAATTTCTAATTATTTAAACTATAAAAATAATATAAAAAAATAAAATAAATTACAGATGTTAAGGAAATTACAGACGAAGCAGAATAAGCAGACTGTACAGAAAATATAGAAGAAACAGGTGAAACAAAAATTATTGCTGATCACTGTTTAGCATAGTAAGATCATCCAAAGGAAGATCATCATTAATTGATAGATCTCATGTAATCTTTGGAGTTGTAATTTCTTCCGTTGATAATATAGAGGTAATCCTATATTAATCATATTATGGTTTATATTTATCACATTCTGGTATGATAAAGTGAGCATTAAAATTAACAAGTCTATAAGTTATGAATAAACACCATTATTTTTTTTCAAAATGTTATCAGTCATACTAATCAATTTTACAGCCACATCACAATCAGCCTCTCATTTATATTACATAATAAAATGTTCACTTTGTCTGGTTTGTTGCAGTATGTCTCATATTATAAAAAAATAACACTAATAAAAATTTTTAACAAAAATATTTGTAATACAACTAACTGATTGAGTTTACTAGAAATAATAATTGATAACCAATAATTAGCAAAAAAATATTATAACTATTGTTTAAAGACCTAAATAACCAAAAAATATAACTTTTGTTAATAATGCTATTACTTTTTTCAGTATTTATCAAAATATCAAAGATATTATATAAATCAGATAGAAAAATTATTCTCTTTGATAAACTTTATATTTTTAAAAATGTAAAGAACTTTATCAAAGAAATCAAAAAAGTTTAAAAAACTAGCAAATATAGATTATAATATAAAATATTAGAAAAATCTAACTAAAAACTATAAAACTTGTAATACAAATAGGATAAAAAATATGATCAAAGATTAGATATATGATACTACTGAAAATATGCTTACATTTAATAATAACAATTAATGCTAGAATTTTTGAAAGATAAATGAAAGTTATTATACTTTATGCTTATTATATAACAGAGAATTTTCTTCTTAACAAAAATAAATAAAAAAATTAAAAAGTATGCAAAATGTTTAATAGCTAGAATATTCTTCTTTTGTGAGTATATATATCAAATAAAAAATTAAGATTATCTGAATTGGATTTATAACATATAATTATTACAATGAAAGGAATTAATTTCCTAAATATATAACTTTAATTTTTTTTATAATATATAATATTTAAATACTTAGAATTTAATATATATAAATTTAAATGTTTTACGATATAAAATTTTAATTTAATATTTAATAGAAAATACTTTATTAAAAAAAATTTTTTTAACTTTTAATCTTAAATTAATATAAATGTTAAATTTTACTTAAAAAAAATATAATAATATTAATTTTTAGTTTTATCGGTAATAATCTTATATATAATAATTTTATTTTTATTTAATTAATTTCTTAATGGATCACTAATTACCCCCACGCTACGATTGGCTGGTATAATTGAGATTTGTTAGGGTTAGGGTTAGGGATTAAGTGTTGTATCGGTGTGACATTTGTGATGTTTCAATTTTTATTTTTTCGGTGGGTTAGGTTTATTCGTCACGCCTTGTATGCTTAATCAATTATACCAGCCAATCGTAGCGTGGGGGGGGGGGGGGGTAATTAGTTGATTCAACTTTAATTATTTATTTTCTATCTTTATATCTTCATCATGTATTTTCATACGTCAGAATTTCTAATTAAAAAAAGAGAATTAAAATTTATAATTATTATTTAATCTTAAAAAATGATAGTTTAATATACTGTTAAAAACATTAATTAGCCTTTATCGGAAATAAACTAAATTGATCGACATTGTCTACACACAAATCGACCATTATGTTTATGTAATGTGTAATAAAATAAATATTTGACATATTAGGTAATGTTTACATATTATGTAATCCAATTCATTATAAATTATAAATTTTTATTACTACTATTATTTTTAAAAGGAAAAAATGAGATATTCATTGATTGGGAAACATAATAATTATTTGGTAAATTATCTCTGTTGATGAAACTTAAAAAATAAATTTTAGTAATAATAAATAATAAATTATGGTTATAATAAAGATATTTTAATCTAATATGATTGTATATGTTATAAGTCATCCGAAATTTCGAGGTCATATTGTATAGTTTGGTATCCTCCTGCACTTGTGTGAAGAGTGATCGTTGGGAGAAGACGACTAGTCAAAGGACGTGAATTTGATTCCGAAAACGGCACGACAGGAAATGGATTTTTTTGTCTTTCCAACTCCGCTAATTTAAATTGGTTCCTTATATTAACTTCGTCGTCATCGTCATCGTCATAATTTGATGTTTCCTTTGAGAGAATTATGGACCACTTTTCTAAAACTTCAGTCAACAATTGAGAGGTAGGACGCTTAGCTGGGTCAGAATCCCAACACTGCTTCATCAATTGAGCATAACATTCCGGTGTCCCTTTAATTATAGGTGGTCTTAATCCGCCACAAATCATATGAGCCAAATTATAATCAAACTTCTTGTCATAAAAAGGAGGTCGAGAGGAGGTAAATTCCCACATGATGATGGAAAAACTGTAAATATCCGATGATTTTGTATGGGGTTTGCGATAAAGAATTTCTGGAGCGACGTAAGGTAAGACACCCTTGATATCTCCAGTTTCAGTTTGACCATCCTTACAAGTTAAACCAAGGTCAGCAATAAAGCTCCGCCTATTATTGCCAAAAAGCACATTTCCTCCGTGTAAGTCCCGATGCACGAGGCCTGACCGATGAAGACTACGGAGATCAATTGAGAGGCTCCAAAGTCTGTCGAGACGATCTTTCCAACTACTGGTGGCAAAGGTAGAAGAAAGGTAGGCTCGTAAATCGCCGTACTCGACAAATCGCATGACAATTAGATAATCTTGTGTGACAGGATCGCGTGTTATACCATAGCAATCTAAAGAGCCCAAGTTAATTTTCAGACATTGATACATAGCTTTGACCTAATTGAAAATACAAAAATTCAGGTTAATGTTGAATGAAATGATCAGCGGTTAAAATAACAATCGAACGTTTACGCGTATACCTCTTCAATAAAACTTTCATCTCCCTTCTCTACACTTTTTAAGGCAACCCACATCGGTTCGCTCCGTTCCCATTTATTCGTAATGGAGTCCCACTTGCAAATACGACCTTTTTCCCAGTAAGCCTTAAAAACTCTACCAAAGCCACCTTTACCAATCTGCTTAAATTCCGTAAATTGGGTTTCTGGGAGCCATTCTAAGACTTGTTCAGGAAATTCTGCGGTTGTTTGTGTTTCATAAATAAAGGCATCAATTTCTGAGTTACCACTTGTCCAATTTGAACGTTCAGATTTAAAAAGACTGGTATTACAACCGCGACACCATCGGGGAGACATCCATTCTTGACCACAAGAGAGACACCGATCCATTAAACTTTCAATGACAGCATATTCTTTTGTGACAGGATTACGCGTGATTCCATAAATTAGTCTCTTTGATGGTGGGTTTGATTTCGAAAATTCAGATTCCTTGAATTAATGTAAAAATGACGATGATGAGTAATACCATTCAAAAAAAGGAGAGAAAGATATATATAGCAATCTTACCAGTTTAAGGACCCGTGGGCCCAAGTGTTTTTCGGCAGAATAATTAGTTACCAACTTAACCCACTGCCCCACATGTCGAAACCATTCATTCGCTCTTACATCCCACCTTAACAAATGCCCTTCTTCCCAATAAGCCTTATTGTTTCTAGAAAATTCGACCTTTTGGAGTAGCGTAAATTTAGAATAGTCAACCCATTCGAACACATATTCGTGACGTTTGGCGGTTATTTGAGAGTTACGAATAAACTCGTCTATTTCTGCATTATCACTTGTCCAATTAGGGAAGTTGTTTTCAAAGTGCTTTGCGTTACATGGTGTACACCAACCAGTCGTCGTGTCAATGTCTTGTTCACATTCTTCGCATAAAATGGAAGTCATATTGAATTGACTCACTATTCCTTGTATGTTCAAGTCGTGTATTTAAACGTGGTGAGCGCATAATAATAATTTCCGATAGAATTGTGCACATAAATACAAAAAAAAAAAAAAAAAAAACACAAATTGCGATATATGGCAATTTTACATTTTTGAATGAATAAGAACCAATAATATTGTTTGTGAAACTATATTCGAATGAAAATGGTAGGTATATAGATATTGTGTGTAATAACTAACAGTCGGTTATTGATTACTGAAGTAACCTTTTTTTGTTATATAAAGATAGCGAAGAATTCGAAGAATTTAATTGGTAGATTAATTGCAGCAAATTATTTGGAGCTGTTTTAGAAAATTTTCGTCTTTTCAGTTGGGAAAAAACTTTTTATAAAACGAAAATTAAGTTTATTGCACAATCAGTGATTGATTGTTAAATGTTAGCCCCGTCATCCTGTGATCAAACGAGTAACCATATCTCAAAGGGCGAATTACCAAAAAAGGCAAGAGGAGGGCATTGATACAACCCCGTTTGTACCAAGAAAATTCAAATTCCGATACTGACGAACTGATCCTCGTATTTTTTTTTTTTTTTATTGTATTTCAGATATTTCTTTCCAGAAGTGCTTTTTTTCCAAAAATTCTTTTTTTTTTTTTTTTCACTGGATAAAAATAGATAAAAACATTAAAAAAAAAAAAATTTATATTGTGACTTATTTTCAAAATAGTTGAATGTTTCTTTGATCTCAAAAAAAAAAACTCCGAAACCTCGATCGACAAATTGCATTTTCAAAAAAAAGAACGTAATACAATAATTTCTAGCCAATAGTATAAATAAGCACAATGAACATTAAACACGCTCTAAAAACACACATTGAATAGATGTTCGATCGACAAATTCAATTAGATTCATTACATTATTGATGACGTAATACAAGATATATATCTGAAAAACAACTTATGATCGACAATATATATTTTTTATTTACTTGGTTTAGATGGAATTATATTGGTCATCAAGCATCTTTTTTATTTTATTTATTTTTTTTTATTTTTATTTTTTTAAAAAAAAACTTGTTTTAAAAAATTTCAGTTTGTATTACAAATAAAAAAAAAAAAAAAATTTGGAAAAAAAAAAAATGATTTTAGCAAAAAAAAAAAAGTGAAAATAGTAACTGATAAACATCTGCATAGGGTGAAATAGTACTACATATTTGGATAAAAAAAAAACGATACATTCATTTGTTGAACAGTTTTCTATAAACTGTAAATTTCGAAAAATGTCGAACCAACGTGTCGTAGTACTTGGCGCTGGTAAGAAAGGGTATTTGAAAAGCCACAATTACTAATAACGTTTTCGGAAAAGTTGACAATTTCGTCCAAAAATGCGCAGGTATTGCAGGGCTATCTACGGCTAATTTACTCTTACAGCAAGAAAAAGGGTTTAAAGTGCATATTGTCGCCAAACATTTTCCAGGGGATTTATCTGGCGAATACACAAGTCCTTGGTATATAAGTTTACTTAAGTTTTAATATCACTTTGAAGTTTTTAAATGTTTGGCTTATACTTATATTATAGGGCTGGTGCACACTGGAGAAGCCATGCTACAAAAGATGACACTAGACAGCAAGGTATGAGAAGTTATTTTGATAAATTTTATTCGCATATTAAAGTATTTCATTAATATTTTGAATTATCTAAAAGAATTTGATAGAATAACTTACAACCATCTTTGGAAACTTGCTAAAGCACCACAAAATAAAACAGGAATTATGATTATTGATGAATTCGAATATTGGGAGAGATTTCCACAAGATTTCTCTGATCCATGGTTCAAGACATTATGTCGTGAGGTAAAAGAGTTTATTATTGGGCTCAGAGTATAGTAAGGTCTATCATTTAAATTCATTTTGTTATTATTTAGTATCGACATTTAAGAAAAGAAGAGCTGCCAACTGGCATTGAGTTTGGAATCACATACAAATCAAGTAATTTATCACAAAAAAAGTTCTTTATTTTATTATTTCAATCTTTTCATGACTGACCGGGATGATCAATTTCTACAAGTTTCTATTAATCCATTAACCTATCTTAGCTACCTTCTCAATAATTTCACCTCTTTGGGTGGTACCACACAACGCGTCAATTTATTATCACACTTAAATGAATGTTTGGAAAGCGAAACCGATATTGTTATCAATTGTTCGGGTATTCATGCCAGAACTTTAGGGGGAGTTGAAGACCCTAACGTCTACGCAGCGAGGGGTCAAACTGTGATTGTGCAGTTGCCTCGTTCATATATGAATTGGGCTTTCTTTAAGCGAGGTAAATATGAAAAGATGTGTTTGTAAATTTAAAAAATTAAGGAATCAAAAATCAACATAAAGTATGTTTACTTGCTAATGCATAATCGCAAAAGCGGCTAATGGAGGAGAAGTAACATACGCGATCCCGCACGATGATGGCGAAGTTATTCTTGGTGGAACTTATGTGAGCTTTTTTCCGTCTTTTATATTTGTCAAATATGTAGCTGAATTAGATTCTAGTTTTTTTTTTTAATTATACTCATTTCTCCAAATATAGGACGAACATAAGTAGTAAGTAAATAAAAAATTCTTATCTCATATTGATAAAGCTCTAATTTATGAACTGTTTTCAATTATTAGTTCGACAGACATTGATTATAATACAGCTAAAGGAATTATTCAACGATGTCTCGCCACTCGTCCGGATATCTTGCCAAACGACCAAACTCAACTAACAATCAAGAGGCACGGAGTTGGTCTTCGACCTTGTCGTAAAGGTGGTGTAAGAATCGAGGCCGAATGGACAAGTACGTGTGCAATTTTTAGTGGAGCAAACATATATTGCGCTTGCATCTTTCTCATTAAATTTATGATTTAGTTTCGAAAAAATTCGGCAAAAGAATTCTCATTTGTCATAATTACGGTCATGGGGGTTCTGGTAAAGAAGAGTTGTATTATCTTAATACTTTATTTTTTTTTTATCTAACATTATTTTTCTCTTTGAAGGTTTTGAATCAAGTCATGGGACCGCACAACATACGATAAAGGTCTTGAAAGAAGCTTTACAGGGACGTCCAAATTTCCAATTGCTAATTTCAAAACTTTAGTTTAGTCTTCAATATTTTTAATACTGTATGAAATTCAGAGTTAAACTTGCATAATGGTTTGGTTTTATTTGGATTAATTTAAGGGTACATATATTTATTTTATAAAAATACGCAAAATTTATTTTTTCTCAACTGTAAAGCCCAGACTTATAAATATTTTTGATGACGATATTTAATAATATTTAAATTTCAAATATAACTTTACTGCAAATGAAAATCATAAATAAATATATATTTTGCAAAATTATTTGAAGTGGGATTTCGGGATTTAAATTTCATTAATTGTTTAATCTTACAATTAAGTATTTGAAGCTAAAATTGCAAGATAATAAAGTATTAAAAAATTGCTAAGGATCATATTTTATGTTTTAATCTTTTTACTACTTCTTTAAACATTATAACATTATGACATACAGTATTTAAAGTTTAAAATTATTATTTGGATTGTAAATGTAATTATCCATAATATTTTATAAATATTTTATCTTATTTTATAATATTTGCATAAAATATTACAATAATATTTTATAATAAATATAATCAAAATATTATAATATTTTGAATATATATTTTGCAAAGTATTATAATCATAATATTTATTAAATATTACATATATTTATTATTTTATTATTAATTTATAATAATCTTTTATTATTCCTTTAATGATAAGTATAAAATTATTTATAAAATATAGTAAATAATATTTTAATATCTAATAGAATAGTTAAGCTTATTCTAAATTAGTTATATATACCAGGGGGTGACAAAAATATTGCACAATCAAAAATGAGATATTAAGTAAATTTTTCATTAATAACTGAGCATATTTTATTAGAATTATTTTAGACATCTATTGCATTAATGAAATATTTTTATGAATTGTTTAATTTAATATATTGCAATTCTTAAAATTGAATTTTAAAAACTCTTTATTTTTTAATATTGTGCATTATATTTTCGTTAAAAGGCTAAAATGCTATTATTAAAATAAAAAAAATTGGGTTCAGCAACTCAGAAATCATAAATTTTATAAGTGTCATTGACTGATCTTATGTGAATATTTGCAGCTTATTAATTAATAAAAACATAAAAAAAGCTAAAAGCTGATTCTTTAGCGAGAACATATAAAATGCGAAGTATTGAAAAGTAGAGATTTTTTTAAAATTAAATTTTACACTATGCATTACTCTAAACTAAATAATGAACAAATGTTTCATTAAATAATAGTTAGCTAATATATTATTAAAAAAATATAGCTCAGTTACTTATTAAAAATTTACAAAATTGTCTAATTCTTAACTGTGCAATACTTTTGTCACCTCTTAGTAAGTTAGTCTAGAATAATATAAGGTTAATTTTAATTTAGTTTTGTTTTCTTAGCTAAACAAAAATTTTTGTATTTTTTTATTTATAATTTGTAATCTTGTAAAATTTTACTTTATTTTTAATAAAGATTATGCAAAGTTATTACACATTAAAAAAAATTTTAACATCTAATAATCATAAAAAGATTTATTAAATTTATCTTATTAAGATTCTTTTTTTTTTATTATAATTTATTATATATTTATATTTTTTTTAAAAATCACTAATTAATTATTATTTATTTTTAATTTTACTTAGAAATATAATATTTAATAAATTATTTTAATTATTAATATTATTAATAAAATTACAAGCAAATTTATATGTACAGTTTCTGGTGAAAAGAATGATAGACACATTTTTTAAAGATATGTAAATTTTTTATTATTAATTGTATTTTTTTATTATTATTTAAAAGAATAATACTAATACAACATTTTTTATTATATAATTAATATTTTATATAACCTCCTTTTGCATCGATGTATGCTTAAATCCAGTTTGGCA